TTCCTGCTGCATTCATATTTTTTAGAAATGTTCTATTGAAAAAGAATTACCTTTACAAGTCCAGCCACTGCTCATGCCAAAAATCACCTGATACAGTTTTTCATAAGTATTAATTCTGAACATAAAACTAGTCAAGTTTGTTTGCTCATAGTGTGCCTGGAGGTTATTTATTTCTGGCTTAAACATATGAGTAAGTTGGGCTTTCTTACATTTTTCTTAAGGTGTTTTTTTTTTTTATTCCTTTCCTGGTATTTGAGAAGCTCTTGTATCTGTCTCCTCTAAGTCTGGTTTGCTAGGCCAAAGGAACTACACTGTATTAGTTTGCTCTGAGTCCCACTGTCTATTATTCGTCACTGCATTTGTTCAAGCTTGTATTCATTTCAGACTAGTTTCCTATAGGAGCAAGGTATATGAGATCACTCTGCCTATGGTCATCTCTAGCACCATCCACCTATAGTAATTTTTGAATAGTGGCTTATTTTAATCAAGTTCATCAGCAGATCTAAACGATTTTTCAGACTACTGTTCTTCCAAGTGTGCAGCCTACCTTGCTTTACCTGTGCAGCCTACCTTTCGTAGTTTTACACAGTTTGAACTTTGCCTCCAGTTGTTTTTAATTTTATAAGCTGCTTCTGCAGTAGAATGTAGCTGACCTCATGTCACGCTGGAGAAGAGATGATAAGTATTTTCAGAAATGACAGGAAACAGTAGCATAGCTTGTTTAAACTGTGAAACTATAGTCAAACTTACAAAGTAGAAAATCTCTCTCTCAGGTGGTTGCTTCAGCCATAGAAAGCTACTCTGACTACCCTAGTAAAACTGTGGTAGAATTAACGTTGGGCTCTGTTAGCTGAGGGAACAGATGCTTCTTTTGCTTTCTTTTCTCAATAGGCATACAGGAGCTGCAAGAGCTGCAGTGAATAACCTAACCAAGACTTTAGCTTTAGAATGGGCCCACAGTGGAGTAAGAATCAACAGTGTTGCTCCTGTAAGTAATGGCAAACAATCTGATTAAACTTAGCCATCATGCATATTCATGGTTAAAACTTTGATACCAAAAGGGATTTTAAAATCTATAGCCTGTTTGCAGATTATTTATGTATGCATTTATAATTCTGTCATTTATGTTCTTCAGGTGATTTAAGAGTGTTTTGTATTGTTTGGTTGACAAGCCAGAGATGTAGGATAAAATTGCTCTTGCTTTCTGCTTTGACTTTGCACTCTTGGTTTGTTTTTTTTTCTAGCTTAAAGAAATGATAGCTGGGAGGAGTTGGTGACCTGTCTTACAAACCCTTGACATAAAATTACCAAATGCTTTGTGTTTCAGTAATGATTACATTATTTATGAGTTTACAAAACTTTTCCTATTTGAGGTTCAGGTATGCTGATGGTTTCCACCTGTGTTTACAAAGTTATTTTGAAAATCTCTGAATGCATAGACATAATGTCTTTTACTTTGTCATTCTGCATGTTAAGTTAGATTAGTTTTAGGCATGCAAAGATAGTGTTTGGCGTGGACCTTCTGTCAAAGAAATTGAATGTAAAAATATGTGTTCTGATTTTTTTTTTTTCTTATCAAATATATGCAGACAGGAAACCACTATACAGGACACTTAAAATATGCATGCCACATTTCTGGGGAAGTAGGTAGCATGTAGTAGTTGTTTTAAATAACCATATGGAAAGACCAGCTATATTTTCTAGTGTGTGGTGCTACAGATATAGAGGGTATGTAGAAGCCCTAGCTTTGACATTTGAGATTGCACAAATCACAACAGATAACAGTCTTCACTCTTAACCACAATTTATTTTGCACATTTACTCCCTTGAAAACAAAAGAGGAAAGGCAAACTTTGTCCAGCTACTTCTACATTCAGAATTTGCCTTATTTCACAGGATAGTTAAATGTCAGATTTGTTTAATTGGTCCCTAAGAAGATCTTTCTACTGTCTTTGTAGGATGTCTGTATATCCTGTTGTGCCTCTTGTCCTAAAACATCTGGCTCACTTTCTTTGGCATAGCACAGAATGCTTAATGGCAGATATGTAATGATAATTCAGGTAGTGGCTCTTACGTAGCCTCTGTGAGGCCCAACTCATCTGGAGACTTGTTAAGTATTAAGATCTACTGGCTTGTTTTTCCTGTTTATTTCTTTTTTCTCATTTATCAAGTCTAGGGGAAGTAAGTAATTAAGACAGCATTATTATGTGAATATATTTTTTGGGCATGCTAATTACGTAATGAATCATACTCATTATATATTATAGCACATGTCAAAAGAAGTTGTTGAGAAGCAAACACTTCAGTGGTTTGGCTCTTTCAGAAGTATTTGCTATCTTTGTTACTATGAGGGTAACAAAAATCCATGTTATAGTTACAGTAATACTTTATATCCTTTTGTTACCTTTATGGTCACAGTAGTGTGGTAACCATACAAAACTGTATGGGAATGGGTACTAGAGAGGGAAACATGCATTCTAAAAAAAATAATTTCACAAGGGAGTTACTTCCTTAGCTCCCAAAACATAGTCACTCACATTTCACAGATATCTTAGAGGAGAAATCTTAGCACGCACTCCATGGATGTATTCAGATTTTGTGATCTTACTTAAACTTGAGTCCCAAAGGTTCTGTCATAACTAATCTCTGTAACCCTGTGTTCCCATTGCTGTAGCCTTCATCTTCCCTTCTCAAGTCTAAACTGGACTTTATAATCATCAGAGCAAAGACAGTCACCTTTTTTCTGTTTCTATAGCAGCTAAGTAGGGAGAGTCTGAAATCTGACTGTGAAATCTGTCTGCTTCCATAATTCACCATAAAATCAATCTAGTGTTCTTACAGATTACAAGAAACTGTTGAGAACTTGTTCTTGGGGCTTTGTAGTTTTCTGCTGTAAGCTAATATGAAATGCTTGTAATTTCAAAACAGTCTTTGAGTTTCTTCTTTATGCTCTCCACTTTACAGTTACGGAAGTGACAGTGGAAAATTGAAATAATCTGAATTACTAGGCTTGAATAGAGATGTGGCTAGCAGTCAAATTACTTTCTTGTATAAATTATACTATTACATTAAATTTAAAAACTTGGATTCAAGTGCTGTTGAGATAGTTTAATCCCACAGAAAATCCCAGTAATGACAACTTCACGGTGTTACAATGATCACATTTTAAACACATGCAAGAGAACTTAATTTTCACTATGCTGTTTTAAAATAGGGAATAGTATTTTCAGAAACTGCTGTTGCAAACTATGGAGAACAAGGTACAATGATGTGGTTAAAGAGCATACCAAAGGTTCCTGCCAAGAGGTCAGCAGTTCCTGAGGAGGTAATGTATTTCAGAACAGTTGTGGTATTTATACTTCTGTGTCTCTATTTTGAAGCCACTTTATTATATGGAGAACAAAAGACTTAATTTTGTACTGTGATGGAATATTGAAAAAGAAAAAAGCTTCTAGTAATGTTTAGTAGTGCCAAGTGGAAGACTTAACCAGTAGTCACTGTTACACTGAGAATTTAATTCAGATGCCTCTTACAGCTGAAGTGTTTCATAGTAGACATTAGTTCCTGAAAAGGTTGACTTCCAGCAGGGAGGACTGAAAGAATGAGTATTAATGTGAAAAAAGTGTATCTTAAAAGTACTTAGCTCACATTCTTGATAAACTGGTCGACTTTTTGTTTGATTTTCAGCATCTGATGCTGATCTTTAAGAGCTTATGGGTTTTCATCTGTTGAGTACTTGATGTTTGTGGCTGGAAAGATGGCTTTAAGACTGTTACGGTTTTCATTACTGAGTAGAAAACGTTGCTATGTATTGCCTGTAAAAGTTTTTACAAGCATCTTTGACATGAACAGTTCCCAGCAGTTAAGAAAGATTAAAATTGTCATTCTTTTGCTAGATTTCTCCTGCTGTGTGTTTCCTGCTGTCTCCAGCTGCTTCTTACATAACTGGGATAACCATCGTCGTGGATGGTGGCCAAAGTTTATATAGCCATACGCTAGAAATACCCGGTAAGAAATGGGCTACAAAATAGTGCCCTTCAAGAGATTGAAGTTGGGCAATGAGAAGACACAAAACTAAAATGCCTAGTTTCTCAATCAGCTAAGTATGTTGTTTTATTTGTTTTCCCCAGATCACAACAGATGGCCCTCACCACCAGAAGGAAAAAATTCTGAAATGCTTAAAAAGCTTCTTTCTGGCAAGTTCAAACCAAAGCTGTAAAAGAATGAGATTTCACCTTATCCCCAGTTGCAAATCTTCAGTTTGTGGTTTGGGCTTGCTATTCTCAATAATATAATCTTTTTGCTCATATGTAACTACATTGAGTGCCTTGACTTTCGTTGGTTTATATTTCAAACTTGAAAGGCTATACATAGTAAAATTCTCTGAAAACACTCACTGCCCTGAAAGCATTCAGTCTCTTGTGAAGGAAAAGTGTAAAAGACAAATTCTTCATTTGCACAGGCATTAAGTAATGAAGAATCTCAGTCAGAAGTGAATAAAAAAATACTTCTTTTGAAGTGAGGGGGGCAGAGAGGGAATGTTTCGGAATCCTTCTATTCTGGGTAAATTTGGGGAGAAGGTAATGTAAATCTCTGTTATTATTAGTTGCATCAGTAGCCCTTAAGGTAGCTGTTTGCACTACGCTATTTCTGTTCAGCCACACAGTGAGTATTCAACAATGATTTTAAAGACTGAGTAGGTATTTCTCCGAAAAGAATTAAAAATATGGCAGAATACTGTTATTAATGTTTCAAACTAACATGGCATGTTGAGTATATTTTGAATTGTGTGCAGATAAAATGACATAATGAAGTTAAGCTGGCTGCAACTTAAATTTGATAATAGAATAATCAGATAATAAACTTAAGCTTTGACATACAGTGGTGGAAAACAGTATAGATTCAACAATTTAACATGCAAAATCTTGAGGCAAAAGCTGTGGTGTATATTGCAGTGCAGTATGCTATACTGTTAAAGGAGAAACTTGGAATCCTTCATTTACCAATTAAAATGCTTTCTATCCATATTGTGTTGTCTTACAATGTTAACACAATTTTGTTCATCAGTGTCTCTAAATTAGGTGTGACTTTTGTGATCAATGCACAGATTCCATTAAAAAACCCAGAAATCTTGCAATATATCAATCAAAGAAGCTACATTTCATTACTTACTTTTTAAATTCACTTTAAGGCAAGTGTTCCCATGTCTGATAACTTTAATCAAAATATAAAATAGTAGTGATGGCTGTGTTTGCTGTAACAAATGAAATTTGTGGAGTCAAGTTGCTGCTATAGAAGCAACCTCTTTAATATTCCATTTTGGATTGAATGTAAGAGTCTCTGCCAGTTGTTCTCTGCAAAGATGTTTGACTTTTGTCTTTCATTAAAATATGAGAACTTACGTGGCTACATGTAGATTGCTTTTTCATGATAATCTGAATGCCAGTTTTGTGGGGGAGGAGGGGTTTGAGCCAAAATGCTTTCTTCTTCTGATATATCCTCTTTGATGATCCTGGGTGGTCATTTATGTGGTTGTGAGAAACTTGTACAGAGATAAAATCAGCTTTTTTCAAACCTCTTGTGCAAGGTATATTTTGATTATTGCAAATATTAGTTCAGGCTACACAGCAAGAAAATTCCTGAAGAAAATGCACCTGTTAGATAACTAACTCTAGAAGCCTAACCCATTGCATTTAAGTGAAATGATTTAGTTTGTTAAGAGATTGTTTCCACATTCTTAACATCTTCAGTAAAAGAAGGTTAAACGTGAACAGGTTTGAGACTTGTGGAATTTACTTTCTCTTCGTGTTTGACTGCAAGCTTCTAGGATACATGTGGACTGTAGATTTGATGTGAAATGGAAGTGATTTGATAAAACTAAATTAAACTAAATTACTTTTATTATATCCCAGAACTGTTCTCTGCAGGATTTGAGCATAAACTTGGAAATAATTATTGTATATTGTTGCAAATTTCCTCTTAACTTTGCTGGAGTCTGAATATTCATAAAGCGGGGAAGTTCATACATAACAATGGTGAAATGCATCACTCATCTCAGGGAAATGGAACATTAGAAAGGTGAGCATTCTCCTGTGTGGGAGACATGTTCAGTCTGCAATTAATAAACTCCTCCACAGGTAAGAACTATAACAAACCTTTCCGGTCACACTGAATACAAGGAACTTCTATTTGACCTTGCCTTCTTTAACTTCCAGCAAAGCAATGGTTGTATTGAGATCTAAGCTAGCTCTTTAGAAGAGGGTTGTTCCTGTGTGTGCTTTTTTTCCCTGGCAAGGAGTTGAAACAGCCAGCATTTATGGAGTCATAATGCACTGCAGCTTAGTGCAGTAGGAGAATACACTCAAAATACTCTAGGGGTAAGAATACAAAAAATATGTCCTCAAAAAGACAAGGGAAAACATGAGTGTTCTCTGCATTTTTTGCTTTTATTTTTCAGTAATAATACTTATGTCTCCTATGTGTTGAAGCATGCTTATTACATTATATTAAATATTAGGATAGTAACTCCTTTGCTGTAATGATTTTGCAGTGATCACAGCCTCTCTTTTTTTTTTTTTTTTTTTTAATTCTTGCACAAGGGAGAACACAAAATGTTTAATTCTCAGAACAGAGGTTTTATTTTGGTCTTTGCCTCTTGGGTCCATTTTTATGCAGATTAAAAGTATTCTAAAAGTTTTGCAGTGTCTTGCAGAAACCCAGTGTTGTGTCAGCTGGCAGCATGAATGTTTCAGGTTTCTGTTGTTAGTGCTGCAGATAGTATCAGCTGTAGCAAAGCTCTTCCTATGCCTTTGTACAGCAGCCCTTGATCAAAGGGCATTGAGAGGTTAAAAAAGATGGGTGTGGTAACAAAAACATCCTTGACCTGTATAAGATTTGGGTGTCTGAAGTTCAGAGAACAGGGCTTGATTTATTTTATTTATTTATTTTACAGGGGAGGTGAATGCAACTGTAGGAAAAGGGCTAAGGAACCTTAGGAGGAATCAAGGAGATTTATTGATCAAACACTGAAACTGAAACGTTTGCTGCACTGTATGGTTGTATAAGCAAAGAGGAGAATGTTAGAATGACAGTTACATTTACCATTCTGTTAGAAATCTCTTTTTTAGTTACTTCATTATTTACCTCTGGCTAAACCTGTACCTATTCTGCCTACCCCTTACGAGATACTCATTTGACTGATAAATAGGTGCTTATCAACTGCTACTTTGCTTCACTATCATAGAACTTCACATTTATGAAAGCAGTGTGGTTCCATGAAGGGGAATTTTTATCAACTGTACTTGCCTTATGTTTTACAGATGATCAATATTCTGCTTAACACAAAGAGTATTCAGGGTATTTATTTATAGTAAAATGAAGTTTGATTATTCAGGAGTTTTACTTAGTGTAAAATGAAGCCTGTGTTGTAAAAAAAATCTTCATTCTTTGAAGATTAACAGTCATCATGTTTGCTAAAGGGAATATAGTCTGCGCAGTATCATTCTGCAGTAAGGTCCATTGTCTGCCTTAAGATGTAAATGAACAAATACGAGGCAACAGTTGCTTGTTACAAGCTTTTATGGCCATGTTTAGTCTTCTGAATAGTTGTATAGAATATCCTGTATAATCTTTAAGAAAGCATGCTATTTGTCTGATAGTGTAATTTAATGTACTTCTAATCAGCATCTGCTAGTTTACTCTTGCATCTCAAATGGCAGACTTGTGTTAAATGGCTGAATAATGTAGACATTAGGGGAATAATCTTATTAGTAAAGTCAACGGTGCCTGTGTTCTGGATTATTGAATATGGCTGAGTCCTAGAGGTAAATGAGTTGCTTCATAAACTTCAGTCATGGGGTTGGAGCAGACAAACCTATCAGTACTGCTGCCCGGTCTCATTTATAGTGTGCTTTTTCTAGAGAAGCAACTCCATACCTGAATGACTCCTGTGTTTTTCCCATACTTTGGTCTGTTTCAAGTATTATAGACAAGTCAATAACTGGTTGCTCTTTATTTATTTTGTTCTGGAACTAAACTTAAATGTCTTGGGCAGTGGGAATGCATCCTGGAATGCAAAACACTAAGTATGATGGTAAATTCCAGTCTGGGTAAGAAATACAGTTGCTAGGGGGGGAAGACGAAGCCTCTTACGAATCTTCCAGCAGTGGTTTAGGACTGTCCTCCCCAAGCTATTTGCTCTTCCTCTCTTTCGGCATCAACCTCAGAGGGACGGTGCATTTCTGTTGGGAGGAACTGGAACTACTGAGATGCAGGCACAGGTTTTCTTCTGTCATGGAAAGGCAGAGGAGGATAGCAGGCAGGTAGGACTAGCAAAGGCTGGAAATAATACTGTTGTTTCCTCAATGCGTGCAAGCTGGATTTACATTTATAAACAGAATGTTGGCCCTCCTGCTGGTGAGGAAGGACTCTTGATCGTGTTATAACATTCTGGCATCACAAACTTTACACTACTACTGTTCCCAAAAGAAGCCGTTTTGACTTCTCTTATCTGCTCTGTCTCCAGCAGCTTGTTCCATTGCCTGTTAATTCATCTTTTGATGAAAAATATATGGAATTAATCACTTATTTAACTAGATCCTTTTCGGGATGTAGTTCAGAATGCGGTAACATGGTAATATGGTATCAGCTATAGGAAGGAACGGTGGGGAGGCAAAGAAACTTGGGGAGGAAAAGGAGTTTGATGGCATGGCCGTGAAAAGGGGCTGGTTGTTCCCATTTAAAGTGTTTAGAAGCTATGGCTTTAGCGTTAAGTAATACATGCACTTGTTAGCCTCAAGCAATACGTCTAGAAGGCGAGAACTGCTTATTGCAATGAGGTATTGATTCTGGAATCCAGGGAGAGCCATACTGCCAGATTTCAGTCAATTGCTTGAGTACACTATCCTAAGATGTGCTTACCCTATAATTTCCACCCCCACTCCTCCCAGCTTCCATCACCTCTATAGGGCTTGTGCTGAATGCATAAATAACTAATTTGCTTTATTGCAACTTCTGTCATCTATTTTTATGCTCTTTTTCCATATCAGCAGTTACACTGTTCTTGTAAGCTTTATTTTGCTCCAGTAGCATGACACATGATCTCAGAACCATGCCCCTGGGTTTAGGCTGAGCTCAGTGTGACCCAGTGTCATAAATGCTGATCCCTGGTGTTGGTAGATATTTTTAATCTCAAAGTCAATATTTAGCTGTTTACCCTGT